GAAGACCACCATTGAAATAATTCTTACTCAAGAAGACACCAACCAGTCTCATTTACATGAGCTAGGAAGCATGATGTTTGCCACTAACCAAAAACTCTCTTTACTAGTTCCAGTACTCCTGTTCCTTCTCCAGAGTCTACCACTCCAAGCCCTGCAGTCCTTCCTGCCCCCACCATCCCTGATGGTGTTTGATTAGAGCCTAAAGCCTTCGGAGCTGTTCTGTGGTAATCCTGATCTTTGTGGAGGGTTTTTACTTCAGTGCAAACTTGCTTTCAAGAGGGCTCCTAACTTCTACTCAAACCGGATGGGACAAAGCTAAACTTCAAGATAATTTCTTACACTCCCTTTCTGAACACATTTAAAAGATAATTTGGCCACCAGGGATGAGCCTCAGAGTCTATATGACCTCATTAACCTGGCTACATGCATAGACAATCGCTTCCATGAGAGGAGGAGGGAAGTGGAGTACAAATCCCAGCGTCCTGACGATTCCAGATTTCGTCCAATGTCAAACTGTCACACTGCCACTCCTCATGCCAAGAATCAGAGCCATAAATCATGTAGGTTGGTCGGACTCGTCACACCTTTGAAGAGAGGGAGAGGAGAATTGTGAGTAGAGATTGCATCTATTGTGGGAAGAAGGGACATTTTATCGCTTGTTGCCTACTTATTGGAAACAAATCAATTCACAAGTAAAACAAGAGATACTGGTGAGGAGGTCTGCAATTTCTCCTGCTTCCCGATTGTTATTGCCCACTATCATTACCAGTAATCATGAAAGACTGCATGTTTCTGCTCTCGTTGACTCCGGCTCAGAACAAAACTTAATCAGAAGAGACCTGGTGGAGAGGTTAGCCATCCCACCTCAGACACTCCAGCATCCTCTAACTGTGACAGGTCTCGCCAAAGAAAGTTTTGCCTGAATACAATTTAGGACTCAGAAGAGCATTGGTGTGATCCAAAGGCAATACCAACTATTAAAAATGGCTGAGTGGTATTCTAAAAGCTGTTTTCCACTCATCCCCCTCCCTAATCCTCACCAAATCATATGTATTACAGAGGTTCAGTTTATAAAGATAATTGCAGAATGAAGTTGTTTGTAGATAGAATCAATTAAGGGTAGAGGATATTTATTCTTGACAGAAATCTGATTCAGTCCTCTATTGCCAATACTGGGTTGAAGATATATACAGCTAATACAGCTACATCGCTTCCTAAGCTTTGCAAACTTTTACTGGAGGTTAATATCGGATTACTCCTGTTAGCATCCCCAATAGTTGGACATTGTTTGCAGGTGCACCAAGCTCTGCAGCACGCTTGTAAATCCAGTTCTACTGCTGGGGGACTTCAACGCTCACGTGGGCAATGGCAGTGAGACCTGGAGGGGTGTGGTTGGGAGGAACGCCCCACCTGATCTGAACCCAAGTGGTGTTCTGTTATTGGATTTCTGTGCTTGTCCTGGATTATCCATAAAGAACACCATGTTCAGGCATAAGGGTGTCCATATGTGCTCTTGGCACCAGGACACTCTAGGCTGCAGTTCAATGATTGACATTGTTGTCATCTCATCTGATCTGCAGCCACATGTCTTGGACAGTCGGGTGAAGAGAGGGGCAGAGCTGTTCACTGACAACTACCTGATGGTGAGTTGGCTCTGATGGTGGAGGAGGATGACGGTCAGACCTGGCAGATCCAAGTGTATTGTGAGGGTCTGCTGGGAACATCTGGCAGAGTTTCCTGTGAGATGGAGCTTTAACTCCCACCTCAGGGAGAGCTATGAACACATTCCAGGGGAGGCGGGGGACATCGAGACCGAGTGGACTATGTTCCGCACCTCTATTGCTGAGGTGGCTTATCAGAGCTGTGGCCGCAAGGTTGTCATTGCCTGTCATGGCAGTAACCCTCGAACCCGGTGGTGGACACCGGCAGGGAGGGATGCTGTCAGGGTGAAGAAGGAGTCCTTTCAGGCCTTTTTGCTTTGTGGGACCCTGGAAGCAGCTGATGGGTACCGGTAGTCTAAGCGGCATGCGGCTCGGGTGGTCAATGAGGCGAAAACTCGGGCGTGGGAGGAGTTCGGAGAGGCCATGGAGAATGACTTCTGTACTGCTTTGAGGCGATTCTGATCCACCATCGGACGTCTCAGGGGCTGGAAAAAGCGGTACGCAACCAATACTATTTACAGTGGATGTGGTGTGCTGCTGACCTCAACTTGGGATGTCATGGGTCGGTGGGCAGAATACTTTGAAGACCTCCTCAATCCCACTGGCACGTCTTTCACTGAGGAAGCACTGCCTGGGGACTTTGGGTCGGGTTCTCCAATCTCTGGTGCTGAGGTAACCAAGGTCATTAAAAAGTTCCTTGGTAGCAGGGCCCGGGGGGGATGAGATTCACCCGAAGTTCCTTGAGGCTCTGGATGTTGTGGGGTTTTGTTGGCTTACACGACTCTGCAATATTGCGTGGACATCAGGGGAAGTTCCCCTGGATTGACGGACTGGGGTGGTGGTCCCCCTATTCAAAAAGGGGGACAGTAGAGTGTGTTCCAATTACAGGGGGATCACGCTCTTAAGCCTCCCTGGTAAGATCTATACAAAGGTTCTGGAGAGGAGGGTCCGTCGGATAGTCGAACCTCGGATTCAGGAGGAGCAGTGCGGTTTTCGTCCTGGTCGTGGAACACTGGACCAGCTCTACACTCTCAACAGGGTCCTGGAGGGTGCGTGGGAGTTTGCCCAACCAGTCTACATGTGCTTTGTGGACTTGGAGAAGGCATTCGACCGCATCCCCCGGGGAACTCTGTGGGGGGTACTCTGGGAATATGGAGTACCGGGCCCTTTGATACGAGCTGTTAGGTCCCTGTACGACCAGTGTCAAAGCTTAGTCCGCATTGCCAGCAGTAAGTCCAGCTCATTCCCAGTGAGAATTGGACTCCACCAAGGTTTTCCTTTGTCACAGATTATGTTGATAAATTTATGGATACAATTTCTAGACACAGCCAAGGTGTTGAGGGGATCCATTTTGGTGGCCTTAGGATCACTTCTCTGTTTTTGTTTTGCAGATGATGTGGTGCTATTGGCTTCATCAGGTCGTGATCTACAGCTTTCACTGGAGCGGTTTGCAGCCAAGTGTGACTCATCCGGGATGAGGATCAGTTCCTCCAAATCCAAGGCCATGGTCTTGAGCCGGAAAAGGGTAGAGTACCCTCTCCGGGTCGGGGAGGAGATCCTGCCCTAATGGGAGGAGTTTAAGTATCTTGGGATCTTGTTCACGAATGAGGGAAAAATTAAACGTGAGATTGTTAGGCGGATAGATGCAGCATCAGCAGTGAAGTGGGCGCTGTACTGGTCTGTTGTGGTGAAGAGAAAGCTGAGTCAAAAGGTGAAGTTCTCAATTTACCGGTCGATCTACGTTTCTACCCTAATCTATGGTCATGAGCTTTTGGTTGTGGCCAAAAGAACGAGATCACGGATACAGGCAGCTGAAATGTGTTCTCTGCAGGGTGTCTGGACTCTCCCTTAGAGAAAGGGTGAGAAGCTTGATCATCCAGTAAGGACTCAGAATACAGCCGCTGCTTCTCCACATCGAGAGGAGCCAGTTGAGGTGGCTCGGGCATCTGTTTAGGATGCCTCCTGGACACCTCCAAGGTGAGGTGTTACGGGCACATCCCACTGGGAGGAGACCCAGAGGAAGACCCAGGACATGGTGGAGGGACTATCTTTCTCGAATGGCATGGGAATGCCTTGGGATTCCCCCGGAGGAGATGGCCCAAGTGGCTGGGGAGAGGGAAGTCTGGGCCTCCCCACTTAGGCTGCTACCCCCGCGATCCGACCCCGGATAAGCGGAAGAAAATGGATGGATAATTTTGTCAAAATTTGCCACAAGATTAATATTTTTAACAACAAAAAACACAACTTTTTTTTTTTACCAAAAACACTTCATTTTAAAAGAGTCGTTTTGAATTTAATATTAATTTCATGTTGAGAGAGCTTGTAAAGATTAGTTAATGATTAGTTTTTTAGTGAGGAAAATATTTCAAAAACTCAAAGTAACACTAATTGTCATAAAGTTAAAGGGACTTCCAAGGGTTACGAAACATAAGCAAATGTTACTGCCTGAGGGTGTTATTTTTGAAAACCTAATCCCTAGTGTGTACTAGAGGAGGTTCATAAATTAGTAAAATACACTCAGACACAAATACAGTCAGCTGAGGAATGGACATCAAATCTATCTTCACAGGTCTGAGATTAACTTTTAAATTATTAAAGCTGATGATAATTGTATTTGTGGTTGTTTCTCTGGATGGTTTAAAAGAAAAAAACGAGTCTACAGAGGTTCTAACTACTGCTAGTCTCAGAACCGAGGCGTTACTGGTGAAATGTACCCTGCAGAGTACTCCTCGTTTACCTGCATTTTCAATGGATGGGGATTTTATAATCGGAGGAGTTTTTTCCATTCACTACAAACTGCAGATAGTGATTTATAACTATACCACCAAGCCTGGACCATCAAAATGTGGAGGAAGGTTAGTAAGAGAAATAAGTGAAGGAAAAAGATGTGGGATTGTACACGTGGAATTTCTGTTTTTCTTAACAGTTTTCAGGCATGTTAAAAAAAAATATGTATTAAAAAAATATATATATATATATATGTATATATATATATATATATATATATATATATATATATATAATCAAATAGAAAAATGCTCTGAAATACAATTATGTTTGGTTTATCATCTAAAATAAACATGAAGTTAACTGAAGATTTCTGAATAGTAATACTTTAGATTTAGATAAGCAGATTTCATAAATGATGTCTGTATGCAAAGTACTAAAAATATACTTGTTTTACATTAGTGACCATTTAAATATATGCATTTTATTTTATTATCCAAACTAATGATTTTCTTATTTTCTTTTGCTTACTTGGTCAAACTTCTGTATTTTTTATGTTTTATATAAAAATGTCAGCATTAACCTTTATGATTTG